GTGTGTGTGTGCTTATACTAGTGAAATTTTTCATTTATGTCATGTTTATTATGTGCCAGATTCCAGATGATAGCTACACTTATATAGATACATAGATTTTAATTTACACAATATATAACTGAAGGAAATCTAAAATATAAGGAAGTTAAGAGTTGCAATGCCTTATTAGGAAATTCTAGTTTCAGGCTTAGTTCTGCAGTTGAGAAAGTGACTATTTCTGAAACAAGCAGTTCTTTTAAATGCCAAGTTAGAGTGCAGAAGTTATAGCTCAGTGGTAAAACACTTGCCTGCCATATGCAAGGTCCTGATTTTTGAGCCTCAGCATTGAAAAAATTCAAACAAATGCTGAATTAGAGAATATTTGAGAATATTACAACAAAGAGTGTCTAAGTGACCCCAGAGAAAAATGCAAAAATATGAAAATTTAAATGTAATATAAATACAACTTCCATAAGAATTATAGAAGATATAAATGGTGGAACTATTGATATGAAATTTTTCTATGCTTTCTTCTAGACTTATATCCTAGATTGGCATTTACAGGTCATTATTTGAGAGAACTACTCTCATTAATTAAGATCTATCAAGCCCACATGCTTCACAACTCTGAATCAATCATTTCTACTTTCTAGTGAAATGGCCTCTTATTACAAATCAGATCTTCTATATTTTTATGACTTAGTGACTGTAAAACATAAGCACATAAACTTTATAATATTTTGTATTTTTAATAAGGCTAATGAGGTACCTTAGCAAGTAAAGGTTCCTACCACCAAGCCTGACTCAACTTAGACCCACAGAAACAACACAGTGGAAGGAGAGAGATGGCTCCTGCAAGTTGTCCTCTGGTGTTCTTCTCTGTTCTCTCTCTCTCTCTCTCTCTCTCTCTCTCTCTCTCTCTCTCACACACACACACACACACACAATGGAACACACTGTCCATTTTTATATATACACAGACACTAAATAAATGTATTAAATTTTTTAGACTTGCAGGAAATGTTTATTTCATTTGTTTGTTTCAAGATACTATTCAAAGTGATCGGGAAAGAAATCAGTCAACATTAATTATTATTGGCCATCAGAGAGGGTATTAGTGCCTATTACAAAGAATCTATATCTACTTCTGTGCATTTACATATACCTTTTCCAAAGGATGTTTCAAAGTTCAACTAGTCCAAGAGAATATGCTCTAGAAGCTTATTTATTCTCTGTCACCAGTTCATACCTCTCATCACACAGATATATTATTTACACTAACACAGATTAATTTTGATTTTTGGAAAACCCTAGGATACTGAACAGAGAGAGTATTTTCTCAGGAGTTAGAGTATTTCTGGTCCCAACTCTGATACAGCCATGTACCCTGGCATCTCAGTCTCTTCTCATGCAAATGAAGAAGTTAGGGCAGATGCTCAAAGAAAGGTCCCTCTTAACCTGATGTAAAAATGGAATCAAGCAACACTGTGTACTTATTTCCCTTAGAGGTCAAATGTTTTAGGCTAAAATGTGAAATGAATGATCTAAAACAAAGTCATAGTTGGGCATAGTTGTTCATTCCTGTAATGTCAGCACTTGGAAAACTGATTCAGGAGGCTTGCCATGAGTTCGAGGATAGTCTTGGCTACATTAAGCTATATAGTAAGACCCAATCTCAAAAATTTATTATTAGCTAGTTAATAAATGAACTGAATAGAATGGAGTAGAATTAAATAAATAAATAAAACACATTGCCTGTTCATTCAGTTAGAAAACTACACATGAGTTTAGTCAGAGTGGCTACATTTAGAGCTGCTAAGCCCATTTGGCTTCATTAAGCACATCTGTGTGCACAGAGTGTTGCCCACAGGATGTCAACAGGGCCTATGTGTGAATTCAGCATGCAAGGGAGTTTCACAACTCAGAAGCAGCAGTAGAAAGACTAACAACATTAACAAAATTCAATTTTCCTGATGTGACACTAAGCATTTTTTAGTATACTTGTGTCTCCATGTGCTACTCTTTAAGATGATACAGCTACCATTTTGGTGGCCTGTTATAGAAATTCACTAGAGTTGTGAGTGAGGAAGCTATAGTCAGCACACTCCACACACCACACACACACCAAATCCCTCACACCCTCAGAACAAGAGAATAAGGAGTTTCATGCAGCAATTCTCCACACACAAACACACAAGAAATTTAAATAAGAAATGAACAGTCTTCTAAGCCTCTGTCGCACAAGAATTTGAGAACTTTTTGCCAGAAGACACACATGTAGCTATTGAAAAGATCTTTTAAAGTGTGAGAAAGTTAGCCTAGATTTCAGATTCCTGGATTCTAGGACCTTCCAGATCCTAGAGTCTGAAATTCTCAGGCTCATAAGAGCAAACTGTGCTGAAGCCTGAGCTGGGTTAATCTGCTTTTAGGATTAAAAAAACATGTAGTGGGACATGTAGTGACTCCCCAGCCCAATACACTGTCACATGCTGCAATACTCTCTCATCTCAACCTGGCAGATCCAACATAAAGCATCCTAAAAGGAATAGGGCAACGATCTGCAAGCCAATCTGCAATTACACCCTTGTAACTGTCCCCTGCTTACCTTCTTTACAAGGTAGCCCTCCCTGATCCGTTTTGGTTCCATGCCAGATGTTCAATCAGACACACAGACACACTCTTTAGCAAGTCCTGAGTAGCTCGGTCTCCTCTGAGAGCCCAGGCGGCTGTGGGCTGTCCTTTTTACAGTGAGGACTCTTTCACAATTTCTCTTCTGGTGACAGCATGCTGACATCCTTTTTCCCTCGCTGGGGTGAAGGGGCAAAAAAAAGAGGAACTATAAAGTTGAACAGCCCATGCTTTGCTAATGCTGCATAGTACATTTAAGCTGAATGTTTATCCAAGGTAACTTTTTATGATCATATATAAAACTCGTTTCCTAAAGAGAAAAAAAAATGATGAAAAAGAAAATGAGCAGTAAAACTATATTGGTTAAAATTATCTTGCCGAGGAATTATTGTTAAGATTCTAAAAATAATAAAAATGCCAAGATGCCATCTCCATCCCCACATGCCTCAGCCCAGTTCTCATGTGTGAGCACTCATGCCAACAGGTGAGTGCCCCAGACCCCCACCCAAGTCATCCCAGTCCCCACACACCCTAGCCAAGCTCTAATCTCACTGGCATGTATACCAACTGTGATGGCTAATCCTGGGTGTCAACTTGATTTGATCTGAGATTAACTGAAAGAGAACTTCTTGATTGGATCATCTAAAGCCGGAAGACACACCCTAAATGTGGGTGTTACCTTCTGATGGCAGAGGAGAACACAGGGCTTTTTGCGGCTTGCCTTCTCTCTCACTGGTGGGTTCATCTTGCTGCTGTAGACCGAAGACTAGCTGATATTTTGGAATTTGTCAGACCTCCAGCACCAGATTGGGACTACTGAGACATCCAGCCTTGTTGACTGAGCGACTACAGATTCTCAGCCTCTCCAGTGTGGTGCAGCCATTGTTGGACTACTCGGACTCTATCCTGTGAGCTAAGCTGATAAATCTTTATACATATTCATTCTACTGGTTCTGTTTCTTTGGAGAACCCTAACTAATACACCAACCTAACCAACTAAGTGCTCCACACACACCCAGACCCAGCTGAGGTCCAGAGTAAATCACCTCAGACCTTTGCTCAGGTTCCCTGTCCCCCTCACATCCAATCCCAACCATGAGTTGTACTCACATACTCTATTAATAAGTCTTCTCCAAATCCCTTGCCCCACACCAACTTTCTATGCTGAATCCCATTAAGGAGAAACATTCTTGTGCATTCTTGGTTACCACTGAATTGGAATCACTTCATCTCTCCAACCAAATATCAACACCAGCTATCTAAAAGCCTGACCTGTCGAATCTACATACATTATCTGAAATCAGCTATGTTTGGGAAATAACAAAAACAGAACCAAACTTCCACTCATTAGAGGTAGGATAGAATCTCATATCAGACACACAAGCAATAAAAGAAGTTCATATGCCCAGGTTACAAAGCAAAAACCAAACAATACAAAAAGCCAAGAAAGACAATATGTCCCCACTAAAAAGCACTACTCCTATAAAATGCTCTCTAGTGAACATTACCTAGATGAACCTGGAGATACAGAATTTAAAAGAACATGATTTTAACTTAAAAGAAAATCAATGAATTCAATGAGCTCAAAGAGGACAAATGCAAACACCTCAATGAACTTAAAATGGATAGGAGTAAACTCCCAAGTGAAGTCCAGGAAAATACAAATATGTGGCTGAAATCCCAAAGTGTGGCAGAATTTCAAAAGAGTAAAGAGAAATACTGAAGAAAACTGAAGAGGAAATGAAGATGGAATTGAAAAACTCAGTAACCCTATTAGACACTCAAGGGAAAGCCTTACAAGTACAATGGATTAAATATAAGACAGAATATCAGATCTTGAAGATAAATTAGAGGAATTGGACAACTCATTCAAAGAATATCACAAATATTTTTAATACACAAAAGGAAAATGCAGGAATTTTGGAATGCCATCAAAAGACCAACTTTATTAATTATAGTCTTAAAAGAAACAGAAGAATCCCAGGTCAATGGCATAAACCAGATCTTCAGCAGAATCATAGAAGAAAACTTCCCCTAAGTCAAGAAAGGACATGCCCATACAGATATAAGAAGCACACAGAATATCAAATAGATATGACCAGAAAAGAAATTCCCACCATGACGTTCTATAATTAAAATACTATATATTCAGAACAAAAAAGGGCATTGAAAACTGCAAGAGAAAAGTCACAAGCCACATATTAAAGAAAGCCTACCAAATTGCAGCTGACTTCTCAATGGCGACTTTAAAACCAGAAGAATGGGGAGTAATCTACTCCAAGTTCTAAAAGACCACAGGCAAGCCAGACTATTTTGTCCAGCAAAACTTTCTACCACAATTAAAAGAGAAAGACTTTCCATGATATAAATAGGCTAAAAAAATTTGTGTACACCAAACCAGTGCTACAGAGAAGACCAGAAGCAATATTTTGGACTGAAAGGGTGAATACACATAACTAACAGGTTACAGAAATCAAACAAAGCCATAATTACTGAAAGACAAAATAGGACTAAGAACACAAACAACAAAAATAATAACAAAATGATAGCAATCAACACAACCTTTTCAATTTCTCAATAATAACTTTACACATTAATGCCTCAACTCCCAAATCAAGAGTTGAAGGAATTAAGAAACAAAATCCATCTTTTTGTTGTCTATAAGAAACTCATTTTATATTCAAGGATGGGCATTACTGCAGATTCAAAGAAAAAAGTATTTCAAGCAAATGGAACGAGGAAAGAAGCAGGCAATGCTATCCCACTGACAAAACAGACTTCAAACCAAAATTAATCAGAACATAAAAATCATTGATTATTCTGATCAAAAGAGCATTTAAGTAAGAAGACATTACAGTTTAAACATGTGCACACCAAACTCTGGCATACCCATTTCATTAACAACAAAAAAAAGCCTCTACTGGATTTCAAGATACAGATTAACCCAAGTTAGTAACAGGAAGTGATTTCAATACCCCACTTTCTCCAATACACAGGTCATCTCAACAAAAAATAAGCATAAAAACAAACATTAAATGATGTCATAGCTAGACATGATGGCACACGCCTTTTAATCCCAACACTTAGTAGGCAGAGGCAGGCAGATCTCTGAGTTTGAGGCTAGCATGGTATATATACTGAGTTCCATGCTGAAGGATAAATGCCTGGACTTAAATGGGCCCCAAGCTAGCTTCCAAAGGGTCCATACCAGTTAAGTAAACCTGAGATCTGAGCTAATATCCTAGGATATTAGCAAAATCCTTAACCAAGAGCCTATGTTATCTCAGAAAAATAAATAGCAGCCCATACTGTCTCAAAACCTCCAAACCGTGTCACCAGCACTTACACTGAACTACAAAAATAGCCCTACCCCACCCCTCCCTTTCTCAATCCCCCATCTCTTATAAGCAGCCCACCAATTGTAACTTGGAGCACAGCTTCAAATCCTAGAGAAACTGTCTGTAACCTTCACTGTTTTTAACAAAGAACCAGCTAGCTGCTCCTGAGGTCAGTCCCATTTTCATGTCACCCTGGTCAATCCCCATCTAACATTTTCTAACACATGCCAGCCAGGACTACATTGTGAGACTCTGTCTCTAAATAAATAAATAATAAATAAAATCACATATCAAGTAGACTTAAAGATATCTACAGGATATTCCATACTGGGACAAAAACAAGTCAGTAAATACAGGAAAACTGAAATAGCTCTGTGTGTCCTTCCTCTGACCAGAATACGATAAAGCCTGAGCTCAACAGCAAAAGGGCTCTAGAAATTACACAAATCCATGGAGATTAAACAACTTCTGAATGATGGACAGGTCAAAGAAAAAGATCAAGAAAGAAATTTTAAAAACTTCCTGTAAATAAATGAAAATGAAAACACAGTGCATCAAAGCCTCTGGATCACATTAAAAGCAGTTCTAAGAGGGAAATCTATCACTCAAAGTGCCTACATTAAAAAATCAGAAAAAAGACCAACTTGGTGGCGCACGCCTTTAATCCCAGCACTTGGGAGGCAGAGGCAGGTGGATCTTTGTGAGTTCGAGGCCAACCTGGTCTACATAGTGAGTTCCAGGACAGCTGGGGCTACTGGGAGACCCTGTCTCAAAAAAGACCAAAAAAATTTTTTTTAATCAGAAAAAGCTCAAATAAATGACCTGATAATACAACTTAAGGGTTTGGAAAAACAAGAACAAACCTAATCCAAATCTAGTAGATAGGAAAAAATAATAAAAACCAAGGCAGAAGTTAAGGAAACCAAAACAAATAATACAAAGAATTAACAAATCTAAGAATGGGTTCTTTGAGGAAATATGTAAGACTGACAAACCCTTAGCCAAATTAACCAAACAAAAGAAAGAGGAGACACAAATTGACAAAAATTAGAGATAGAAAGGGGAGAATACTTTTTTTAAAAAAACTATACTCCACTAAAAGAAATGAATGCATTTCTAGATTCATCCAAAACACCAAAGTTAAACCAAGGAAAATATAGCTGTAGCAATGGAGTCTTATGCTAACGCACTAAGAAGGTTGCCAAAATCATAGGTGACAGTGAAGGCTATAGAACTGCAGATCTTGTGGTACAGCTCTGAGCTACTCACAGTGAAAGCCATACAACTGCTGAACTGGATGTGAAGGAAGGCATCATTGGTGATACGAGAGTACTGGTTCTAACAGAAAGTGTCCAAGTAAAGCAACAAGTTCTATTGAATGCAGCTGAAGCAGCAGGAGTGGTTCTACATGTAGACCATATTACAAAAGCAGCACCAAATAAACGTCCTGGATTACCACCTAAGCATTTGCTATTGATCACAGGATACCACAACTGTATTTGAAAGACATCAACCTTTTTTATAAGTTAAAATTATTTATTTATTGGGAAGTTAATTACTACTGGGTGAGGAATAGCTGATTTTTTTTAAGGGAGTCAGTCTACATAGGCTGACTAGACCCGAGTGGATGAACTTGCACTGAGGGACATCACTAACTTAACTCAGTGGGCCTTAACATAATGACAGAATGCATGAAATTCAGTGGAGAGGGAAATGTGGGAGGATGCTGATGAGTATGGGAGTATAAAGATGATTAAGATTTGTATGAATACACAAAACCTCAATAAAATATATTTTAAAATTATTAAGGTAAATTATTTCTATAATGTGAATTTTAATGT